AAGCAAATAGTTAAGATGCCCTGGAATCAGAGGAGCTGGGTTCAAAACGTAGATGAGCCACTTGGAAACTATGTCCCTTGAACAAGTTTCCTGACTCCTCTGAAATTCTGTTTTGCTGTGAGGATGGTTCCTACCTCACAGAGTTGTAGGGATTAAATGAGACAATGCATATAAACCCCAGTAATTATTATATAATCCCACTTTCTATAATCCCAATTCTATAATCCCACTTTCTAGTTTGCAGGTAACAGAAGCCATCAGACAGTAACTCCTTCCACGTCCTGCTCGCCCACCCACGCGCCTGTCCTTGTCTGCATTCATCCTTGTCCCTCCGCTCCCACCTCAGTAGAAGAGTCTCTCTCCAGGCCCAAGGCTATGCCCGCCCCTGGGTCTCTGGGTCTCCTCCCTCCTGCCTTCTGAGTGAGCTTAGTCTGTTTTTAACTCTCTCCTCTACACTGCTGGGTTAATTTCTATTCATCTCCCTCAGCCTACAAGACCACATTCAATAAACGCTTCCTTAGCACCTCCTATGGGCCAGGCACTGTGTCAGGTGTTGTGGATAAAGATGGATTGAAAGTGTCGTGGTCTCTGCCCTCAGGAAGTGTGGGTCTAATGGTCCATGTGTTCAAGCCCCACTTAAGTGCTCAATCCCCGAGAGGACCCCTATTTTCCTTCTTCGTGACATTTCTCCTTCTCCCCTTTGCAGCCTGTGTCAGGCAAACAGACAATCTGGGGTGTCTGACATTTCTTGAGACTCTCTCCCCGTGGTTTCGGTGACACTCCCACCTCCTGTTGAGCTTTGTTTTGCTACTCTGTGGACCACCCCTCAGATTCCTTGCAGGTGTTTTGGTGGCTCTCCCCTTCCAAAGGGGGCATTCCCAAAGGTTTTACTCCTCAGCACTCTTCTCTCACTTTACAGAGTGGCTTTTAACCTTGGGGAGGGGTGTCCTGCCCCTTTGTGAATCTGGTGAGAGCGATGGATCCTCTCCCAAGCTGATTTCATACACACACTATTTTGCAGAGAATTTCAATGGGTTTACAGACCCTGTGAAGCTTAGCTCCACTCTCCCACCCTCTCATTGACCTGGCAAAGTCTCAGTCACCCTTGAGATCCAGCTCAGGTGGCATGCCACCCTCTCTGGGAACCCTCCTTAACCCACTGTGTCCCCGGTGAAGGGTAGAAGCCACTCCTCCGCACTGGCCTCTATCCCAGCACCAGCCCACGGTATCCTAACAGTCTGCTTCCCTGCCTGTTCTCCTACCTACTAGACTGTGAAGCGAGCCCCCAGGGCTCAGAGACCATATCCTACTCCTCCTTGTATATCAGCAGCACATAGCAGAGTTCCCAAGCATATAGAAGGCCCACAGTAATATTTGATGAAAAGTAAATATATGAGTCTACTTTCAAAGCAACCATGTTAATACATATTGAGAGCCTCGCTTTACAGAGATAGGCTCAGAGTGAATTGTCCAAAGTCAGAAAAGGGCAGAGCCGACTTGTAAATGCTGATCTGCTGGCCTCCGCAGCCTGTCTTCATCCCACTATGCCAGACCACCTTGAACCCCTGCAGTTAGTCCACTAACTGCCTGCCTCCCACTCCGCCCAGCTCTCTCCACTTGAGTCGGGAATGCTACGGTTGAGATTTACCAAAAAAGAACTGACCCAGAAAGATATCAGAGTTGACTGCAGCAAAAACTGGGTCCTGCCTGCTCTTGCTCCCCGACCCCCATCCCCACCATTTGGGTTTGGGGTGGGGTCCTTTATGGATCCAAGTTGGGATAAGAAAGCATTCTTCCTGGTCCTCAGCCAAGGGAGAGAGACCTCACAAAAGTAACGAGTGGGAGTTCAATCCAAAGAGGCTATAGGGAACGAGGCAGATCCTAAATTAGAACTAAGGCGTGGGATCACAGCAGAAACCCAGGCCTCCATCCATCCATGCACTCACTCACTCATTTGTTCATTCGCTCAGCAAATATTCATCAAGCTCATTTCTCCCAAATCAAGCAGGTGGGCCCCTCCGCATTACCTGGGGCAGAATAAGTAAAAGAGCACAGAGAAAAGCCAGGAATTACACCAATTAAAGCCCCTTCACACAGGAGTGGAGGGGGAGGTATAACGCTCTCCCAACAACTCGGGTTCCCGGGGATTTGCCTGAGCCACTGGTCTGGGAGAGTGACCGGTCCCTCCGTTCAGGCTTGGTTAGTATTCGCTCTGGCTCTGTCAGGATTGGCCCAGGAACTAAGATGGGTCTGAATCAGCTGAGGGGTGGTCATCAGTATATCTAGCAATGAAGAGTGGGGGTGGGGGAGCCACAGGGATCAGAGACAGGAAATGAGGCAGGAGAAGTACCCGGATGACCGAGAACTACAATCCAGGCCTAATGTCCTATGGGGAGTCATCAAATGGTTCCTCTCCAGTTGTCCGAGCTATGGGCATGCCTTCAAAGAAGAAGGATGATTTCAGGAAATAAAGGTTTTGCTGCAGAAGAGACTAAAGTTAGACCGATTGGCTGACCTTCACTGAGGGGCATGATGCCAGGTGAGAAGAGGATGGACGTTTTAGGGTGTGGACTAACAAGAGGCTTACATATCTCCTATTTTGTTTACAGCAATTACCTGCGGACACCCAGGCAACCCGATCAATGGCCTGACTCAGGGCACCCAGTTTAATCTCAACGATGTGGTCAAGTTTGTTTGCAACCCTGGCTATGTGTCTGAGGGGGCTGCTAGGTCCCAGTGCCTGGCCAACGGGCAGTGGAGTGACATGCTGCCCACCTGCAGAAGTGAGTCACCCTTCTCCCACTCCACCCCCAGCACCTCTGCCCTCTGTGGTCAGTAACTCACAAGCAGAAGCCAGTGGCTTCAGTCCTAGTGTTATTTTGACTCAGGTAGGGAAGGTTTAGAGCAGAGAAGCATCATAAATGGGAACTTTCTCAACCCCTACATACAGCCGTGTAAAATTGCATCATTGGTTGTAGAAAGAAAGCAAACAAAGTTTCATCTTTGAACACAGAAGTCAAAAAAAAATCTTGTTTCCATATTATAGAACCAATGATTCATCATTATCATGTAGAGCCCTAGTCTTGATGAAAGGAGAAAAAGCAGAAGCGTTCAAATGAAAAATAAAAAGCAAGGAGTCTAGGGGTAGGGGTGACGCGGGAGGGAAGAGAAGAAACCAAGGACTAAGGACCCGGCATAGAGGATATTCGGGCCCCGTTTGGATTATTTGGTAAATAGCTCCTAAAGCTTCTGAGGGCTGCTCATTGTTAATGGCAGGAAAAGGCAGAGGGAGCTGTCTGCCCCTTACCAGGAGCGGCCAGGCAGGCTCAATGACAATGACAGTGGAGAGTCAGGGAAGGCCAAACACGAGCGAGCTGGCCCTGATCTGGAGGCTGATGGAGTCCCCAGGGCTCTGAGGGCTGAGATTCCTTGGAATGATGGCTCCTCCCTGCAGTATTGGGAGGAGTGCACCGTGATTGATTGGCTATGCAATGTGTCACTAGTCATTTGTAACTGATTTTAAAGGACGAAAAGGTCAAATGATTTTTTTAAATAAATCAGGATACATTCACAACAAAGCTTAGAATAACTTCCCTCTCTTTTAACATTTCAAGGTGCCATGTTGAGTGAGAGAAGGTTCCAGAGACACAGGGAAATTTCCCATGACCTTGTGTTGTACCTTCCTTTGATCATCTNATCCTTTTTCAATATGTTCAAATTTAAGATGAATGTTTTCTTTCTAGCAGTGATTTTAGATCAATATTTGGCCCTTCCCCCTGCTTTTCTCTTCTCTTTCCACGCCGTCTTGTTCTCCACAAAGGCTTGCATCGGAAGCATGAGAAATAGTTCTGCCTGGCTTTAGTGTTTATTTTTCTCCTTACACATAATTTAAAGTTTATAGCATTCTCTGTCTTCTGCTGCAGGCCTGGGCTTTCTACAGTTTTATTTGTTTTTCTTGTTAATCTGCATTTTTTTGGATTTAGATGACCACCATAATTCTCAGCTGCCAGGAAGTAATTTGGAAAATTCTTTACTTTTTAACACTCCCTAAAGTAAGCTTTTATGTAAAGTGCAGGGTTTTGTTCTTAATTTTTGTAAGGCCAATTTTTGTTTTTAATACTTCTTTATTTGGCTTTTCGTATATAAGATGGAACAATAAAATAATGAGACTTACTCAATAGACGATGCATGAAAATTAGTCTTAATAGCTTCCTAAGTATTAAGCTTACAGAAAGCAAGACCCATCTATATTCAGTCCGTTTTCCAGATGTGTATAAACAAAATATATTTCGTTTCATCCCGGACACAAAAATTCAGATGCTTTCGGGAAATTGGCACAGAATGTACGTGAAGAGATTGGATTATAAATAATAGGGAATATTGAAGTCTAGAATCAAATGGAGACTATGTGCCTGACCTAAAGATATTTTAGACCTGCTCCATACTGAAAGGCTATATAGTAAAGTAGTTAGACACTCGTATCCTGGACCTAGATTGCCTGGATTCAAATCTCAGATCTACCACTATACATCATACTGCTATATGACTTTAGGTGACTTAGTTTATCTCACTAGGTCTCAGTTTTCTCATCTATAAAACACAGATACCTCAAAGAGTATTTCAAAGATTAAATAAAGTAATACATCTAAAGTGGTGTAAAAAAAAACTTCCTGATCCAAGTGTTAAGCAGATGCTGCTATGGTAATTGTTGTTGTGATGATGACAATGATGGTGGTGGTGGTGGTGATGCCACCACCCTGTCATATCGCAGAATCCAGGATCTCTTATGCCAAGCTCCATTCTCTCCTGGAGCACAGAAATGTGGGGAGTGTCTGACAGAGGAAGGCAAGAGTGAAAGAACAAATATTTAAAAATACTCTGTGGTAGGTGCTGTGTCAGCTGTCATCACATGTAAATGCAAGGT